GTGTTTTGGTTCAAGAATTCTCAAATGAAGTGATGATGCCTGCCGTCAGTTTGGGCTGTTGGGACCTGAAAGGCGATGCTGATTCCACTCCCATAGCAGTCAAGGCTGCTTTGGACGAGGGCTACTACGCTCTGGATGACGCACAGATCTACGGTAACGAACATGTTATTGGACCTATAGTTGGAAGCTTTACTAAAGACCAGATGAAGGCTGTCGCCAAGTTCGACCCTACTCAAGACGGAACGCCCTTCAAGGTCGTCTCGGAAGACAAGTTTCTGGAGTCGTTCGAAAAGCCGCATGGTAAGCCTGAAGACGACCGTGCCGTGTTTGTGACTACTAAGATCTGGTGCACCAAATTCACTCCAGAGGGGATACGGGCCCAAGTCGAACAGCATCTGAAAGACTTCAAGCGATCCTCAATTGATCTCCTACTTCTTCATGTTCCTGGGGACCATTATTTATGGGCGAAGGATGAGAATTCTGTACATGACCCGCGAAACGCTGAGACCAGGATCATCTGCTGGAAGACTTTGGAGGCGTTGTACGCAGAAGGAAAAGTCCGTTTGATTGGAGTAAGCAACTACATGGCGAAGCATCTGCAACCCTTAATTCAAGATATCGAAAAGAGGAAAGCAGCTGGGGACAAGCACGCTCGGCTCCCTTTTGTTAACCAAATTGAGATCTCAGCCTTCTGCCAGGTTGGCGACGAACTTGAGCAGCTGTGCAAGCAGAACGACATCATATTCACGTCTTACAGTTCCCTGGGCAGTGCGAAATGTGTGGCCGAATATATGGCACACGAAGTTATTCAATCGACTGCAACGAAACACAAGGTCACGGCTGCCAATGTTCTTCTCCGTTGGTGCCTTCAGAAGGGTTACATGATTCTTCCCAGATCCACTAAGGCAGAACGTGTGAAAGAGAATTACGGTCCTACTATGAGTTTCAAGCTGGATCAAGAAGACATGGAAGCCATCTCGAAACTTAACACAGGAAGGAGAGCTCTTTTAGACCCTCATGAGATCGCTTAATGCATGCACAGGGTTTATGCGTCTTGACGACGAGATACCTCTTTGGGGAAAAAAATTTTTCAAACAAGTTTTTCGGTGAGTGGAACTCGTCCCAAACAGAGTGCTACCCGGACGGACTTCAATCCAGGTCAAGTACATGTTTATACGAGGTCCAGCTGGTTGTCTTTCAACGTGGCCATATCCTCTCGTGGCCGTGGGTGACAGTCCTTCGGCGAAGGAGTTATCACAGGATTGCTTTCAAAGTCATTTGGATGTTATCTCACCGTAATGGGGTCAGCTCGATGCAAAGGGATGATGAATGCATATCCAGGGTTTTGAATTTGTGGTACGGGTGTGACAATTTATACCGTGCTGTAGTGAGTGTTGAACGGGGGGGTCTTTTACTTGAAAAATGACATCAGGAACCATAAACGGCTATCAGCAGCCCCCCAATTATACCCAACAAGGACCGAAGTCTGTAATGCAGGATACCAGGTCGCATAGCACTAGGTCGCACTATGACTCGGGGCCCACGCCGCCAGTCATAACGACGTTGACGAGGACGGATGAGAGCCGGATTGACGCTATGATGATACCACGACCGATGAATCACTTCCGGAATGAGCAGCTGGCGGAGCCAGGGGGACAGAGAATGCCGGCGAATTATAGTGGACAGCTGCCGTCGAGCAATACAGTATGTACATACGTGGAAGAGTCAGATGCTACACCCAGGTTCCTGAGGCAATCTCTGGGTTTGCTGCCGCAGAATCGTCATGCTCTGAGTCTCTGCAAGGTCCCTTATTCTTTATTGGTTACTCCCTTTCCCAGACTGGGCATGTTAGAGTGTCCTGTTCCGCGAATCGACTTGTCGCCTTACTCGAACGTGTTTACAGTTCTTGCAGCACCGACGTGGGGCCCCCAGCAGCCTCATCGACCTGGCCCGCTGCGCTGCACGTCCTGCGGCGCCTATGTGAATAGCTACTTTCAGTTTGCGGTGCAGGCAGCCAGTTGCAACATGTGCAATTATTCCTTCGACTTGCCAGTCTGGTACACTCAGTTGCTCGAGGAGCACCGCAGGCAGATCCCGAGCGACTTGGCGCTCAAGGAAGCCCTATATTCGTGCTCCAACCTTGCAGACGCGCTGCCCCGGCTCGAAAGCCCCTGGGTGCGCGCGGAGATCCTGAAGGGCACCGTGGACTACCTAACACACGCCCACCCATCGGGCATGTACAATATGGGCGCCGGGTATGAGGGCCAGCAATACTCACAGCCAATCGACCCGCCCAAGGCAGTTCCCTTGCTGGTTTACGTGCTGGACGTTAGCGCCCTGGCCCTCGGCAACAAGCTGCCGGAGACCGTTCTCGGCAACTTAGTGTACTTGTATCAGGCCTGGCCTCAGACGCCCCTGGATATCGCCGTACTGCTAGCGGGCTCTGAAGAAGTCTACGTCTTGCCCGTGGACCCAGACGACGGAAGCGTCCGCGCCGTCCAGGTCGTCGCAGACGCACAGAATCCGTTCTTATCGGACTGGCCGTCGCATATAACCCTCCGAGTCCAGTCGCGAGAGAAGCTGGAGGCCTACATTTCCTCCATCAAGGCATTTATTGCTTCGGAAACTTCGTGTGCGCGCCATACAAACGCGTGTGCTGCTGCGCTCTCTGTAGCCGTAGACTTAATCAGCGCCCGTAACAAGCTTGCCGGGCACCCCACGCTCGCCAATGGGCTGCCGGTTGTCCATACGTCAAGCCGCGGCACCATTTTGCTCGGCTCCAGTCCGCCAGGCGGTCCCAGCTCTGCTCCGTCTTCCGCGCTGCCTTCCGACACCGAGGGCTGCCGCATTTTCGGCCGGGGCGGCATCATCCAATTGTTCACCACGTCCAGGCCCACCGCTGGCTATGCGGCACTGCCGGAAACCCCGATATTAATGAAGAACAAAGAGGAAGGACCTGCTGCAGCCGGCGCCCAGAAGAAACTGCAGTGGCCCGGACATAGACAATGGAACGTATTTGTACCACATCCTTCAGTCGTGGACCAAGTGGACATTCTCGTCCGGAAGGCAGTACTGGAAAGCGCGTCGATTTCCGTGTACGCGATCAACCCGAACACAGCAGATGACGCCAGCCGAATGAGCCTGGGCTTCTTCTACACTCTCGTCCGCCAAACAGGGGGTAAACTTTACTGCTACCCGGACTTTCAGCTAGCCATGTAACCTCCGACCCCCAACCATCCGACCCCGACCCCCAACCATCCGACCCCGACCCCCAACCACCCCACCATCCACCACCCACCATGATTTTGGTTTGGTAGTGACTATGAGAAGTTGTATTACGACATGTACCACGAGTTGGCTAACGGGATAGCGTTAGACGTGTCATTCAAGTTGCGTGTGTCGTCGGGATTGGTGGTGAAGCGGATCAAATGTCCGTGGAGTTGTCTAACGAGCGAGAATGGTGGTTATGGAAACGACGTGAATGTGTTTTCGATACCAAGGTTGCATTGGACGGATACGGTGTGTTTCGATTTGGATTACGCAGTGGACGAGTTGCCAGGGAAGTGCGGGTACGTGCAGGCGGCGTTTACGTACACGAATTGGTTCGGTGAGCGGTGTTTGCGTGTGATGACTAAGCGGTACATGTATACGTCTATGTTCTCGTCAGTGTTTCGCATGTCGGATGTAGAGAGTACGCTGTTGTCACTGGTGCGACACGTGTGCCTGGGATTGATGAGCGGCCGGCAGAACGTGCAGGAGGACGTGGACCATGTCGTCGCGGAGATCCTGCTTTCCTATCGACTTCACGCAGCTACGAACTCGCCATTCGGGCAGCTTATCCTGCCCGAGGCGCTTAAGTTGCTACCGTTGTACCTGACGGCCTTGTTCAAAAGTCCGTGTACCCGCAAGATGGGCGACCTCAGCGACGCTCGCGTGGAGGCCATGAACCTGCTCAACAACCAACCGCTCGCCAACGTCTGCCGTTACATCTACCCCTTCCTCTATCCGCTGCATCGCTCTGTCGTCCAACTCAAGGGCGAAGAACTCGGACGGGTCGGATTCCATACCGATGTCCAACACCAGACCTGGACATTCGTCTTCGTCCCCCAGACCTTGCCTGCAAGCGGCGAACGCGTTAACTCCGACGGGGTCTACCTCCTAGACGACGGCACCCAGTTCCTACTCTACCTCGGCCAACATGTACTGGACACCGTCCGCCGCCAAATATGCGTTCGCGGCTACGATATGAGTGCCACCCGCACCCCCCTCCCTCCGGCCGCCGAAGCGACCCCCCTCCAAGCACCAAACGGAGCTGGCGGAGTGGACCCCAACAACATGCTCATCCGCATCTGGAACGTCGTCCAACAACTCCGCCTCCAAAACAATTCTGGAGACTTCCAACCCGTCCGCGTCATTCTCGCCGGCAGTGTCGCCGAAAGCGAGTTTATCTGGAAAATGGCGGAAGACAGACTCAGTGCGGAGAAAGGCTACGTAGATTACCTTGTAGACGTAGGCCTCCCCCCTTCCCTTGCCCACAGTTGCCCGCTTCCCTTCCCTTCCCTTCCCTGCAGGTGCCCTCCCCCCTCCCTCCCCTTGCCCACGATTGCCCGCTCCTCTCACCTGATTCCCTTCCCGTTGTTGAGTGAAGTTGAGTGCTTCTTGCAGATGCACCGAATAGTGCAGAAGGAGTTGGCAGACGCCTAGGGGGAGTAGCTTTTGGGTTGTCAAAAAACCGGGAGATGAACTGTTGGTGGCTGGCTCTGCAGTTCGGCTGGGTCCTGTTCAGTTTCTACCTGGTGTGCTTTCCGGCGCGGGCTTTGCAAGCAGTGCAGACGGATGCGGTGCGTTTCCGGTGGCGCAAGAGTCGGCGCGAGGTTGAGTTGCTCGACTTGGTTGTGGCCGGTGTGGTCTTCATAGAACGCGTTAGAGTGCGGCCGTGGCTAGTTAGTCTCTCGGGGGAGGTCGCGGTCGCGGTACCGGCCGGCGCCGCGGACAGAGACAACAAGGGGGAGAGCGGTGTCGCCCCGGCGACAGATTGGCGCACGGCGGCCCTACTCCAGCTAGTCGGCTGCCTTAAACTTGTTGCCTGTTTCACCGAAGTCTACCTGCTCTCCCCCGCCGCATTTAGTTTATGGTCGTCGCTAGGCGGCGACCGGTCCCAGCAAGCAGGTTGCGACACGCTGGCGGCCGAGGCGCTGGTTCGAGTCTCGGCTCCGAGCGAGCAGGTGGTAATGCTGACGAACGGGAATTTGCGTTTGCAATCGAGCAACGCGAGGTTGTGGGTTCAAGGCGCTTCGTTCGCCATCTTGGGCGACAATCTCGTCGACCACGACATCTCCGGTCGAGACCTCTCGGGCCGCCTGGAGAGCTTGGTAATGACGATGGGCATGGACCCCGGCCGAGCCGCGATGGAGCAGAGTGTCGCGGTGGAGCTGGCCAGGCTGCACCTGGTCGAGAGCGGGGGAGCCGACCGCGGAGGCGACCGGCCGAGCTTCTGTCTGGAGGCGTCGAAGGTGTCCTTGAAAAAGGCAGTCGTTGCCCCGTCCAGTGGACCCCCGTTGAGGGCGACGCGGTTCCGGCTGCGGTTGGGCAAGTTGCTATGCCGGTCGGCGAGTCACCTGCAGCTGGAAGTGGCGGAATTGGAGCTGTCCGCCGTAGGCGATTTGAGCCACAGCGAGAGTAGCGTGAAGGAGCTCCGGGTTGCGGAACGGACGCACGACGAGCTGCGCCCGCTGCTTGTAGCCTCGGACTTACACATCCGGCTCTGCGACAAAGTCCTCTCGGTCGGCGCCACCCAAGTAAGACGTATTGTCTTACTAAGGTGGGTCGAACTAATGAGGGAACACGGACTCAAATTAACAAGAAGACAGAATGGCGAATTAACGACCAGAGGAGGTGCCGCTGGCGATGTGCTGCCCACAGGCCTTGCAAGGTTCCTCCCGGAGTCGTTGAAGCTGACTTTTGAGCTGGTGGTGGTCCGCTTCACCAAACGGGTCTGTCAGTCGTCCAGAGAAGAGATCGACCAGAAACAAGACGTGTTTTGCAAAGGGTTCCGGCTCTCCCTTGAGACGACGTGCTGTGAGTCTCGGCCGATTCGAACCTGTTCGATAAAGTGGGATGAGATTTCGACCCAGTCGCCTCGAGCCAGCTGGCTTATCTGCAGGTCCGGGCCGGTGATTGTTTCTCTCCAAGTTGCCATGCAGCGGTCTGTCAGCCACCAATTTGTTAGCTACGGTATACCGGTTACCTCAGAAAGTTTCCCAGGGCACCAGCTCACATTGGTTGAGTTCGAAATGCTTACAAACGACGAGATTGAGGTCTTGGTGGATGAACAACAACTGGTCGCCTGGTGGAATGCTGACTCGGGCAGTACTTGTGTGAGTCCGATCGGTTGTTTGGCTTCCAACATGAACATATACTACGAGGCCGACCCGGCTCTTCCTTGCCCCGGCATGGAGGAGACAGCAGACGACATGGATGAGACAATGGACCCGAGTAGCGCAATACAGGAGACTGACCAAGTTGGAACGGCCAAGGACCGAGCGACCGACCGGGTTGGTGTGTCGCGGTTGAGCTTGGCAGTGCAGGAGTTGAACATAAAGTTCCCTAGTCCAAAGTTTATTAGCTGGTTGCAGGAGAGATACCCACCGGCACAGACTGGTCATATGCCCGATTTGAACGTGGATGTGAAGACATCGTGTTACTCCATTGAGACGTCCCACGGCGTGCTACTTGCACAGTTGGATGAGTGGATCTGGAACAGTTCGGCACGGCCATTAGAGCGAGACCTGCAATCGGAGCACGTCGGGTTGGGCGAGCCGACGCCAAAGGCGGTACCAAGTTGTCGAGTCGACTTGATGCAGGTGACTTACCGTGAGAACGGTTTGCTGCATGAGGTCGTGCGTATGAGTGGCTTCTGCTGTACTCCGGAGCTGATCAAGGTCGACGTGCTGCAAATCATGCTCATTTACCACATCCGAACCATCGTGGGCCAGGACATTCTCCCCATTCTGCGCCGACTCCTCATTCCCAACATGCCCCCGCCACCCCCACTAAGAGCTGCACCCGCCGTCATCAAGTTCACACCTACCTCCGTCTCCGCAGGCCCCTCCGAACCTGCTGCGGCTCTGCTCGAAGACTCTTCCTTCGAACACTCTTCGCTCGAGCACTCTTCGCTCGAACACTCTTCCCTCGAACACTCTTCCCTCGAACACTCTTCCCTCGAAAAGGGTAAACCTTCCACCGAGTCCGTCCGAGAGAAGGTGGCGGCCACGACCGTGATTTCGGTGCCCGAACCGGCGTTATGGTCGCGTCTGCGGTCGGTGGCGATGGAGGTGCGAGAGTTGCAGGTGACGTTAGCCTGTGCGTCAGGTGTGTCACTCTGTGCTCTGGTCCAAGACCTAGAGCGGCAGTCTAGTCAAACGCTGCGTGCGACCGCTGATCTCTTTCTAGCGTCCGTGGACAGCCGGGCCAAGGACGTGCTCCTGCCCGACTTGACTCGTGTCCGTGCTCCGGTCCACGAGCAACTCCGGCACCCTCGTGATGCACACACGAACGGCGTTCCTGCCTTCGGCACCACTTTCACGCTACGACCTGATAGTCTCAACCGCGAAGGATGGACCGTCGCGACCCTCCTGGAGGCACCCGTTCCCCTCCACCTGGGCCACGACCATGGGAGCGGCTGGAGTTTCGCCACGGGTCCCGTTGAGCTGGTGTTTACCTACGACGACTGGCCGCTACTGGAGCAACTCTGGGACTGCGGGCAGCTATGGGCGGCACTCGTTCGACACGACCTGAAACACCTGTACGTCGTCGACGCCGAAAAGCACGTCGAGAAAGGCAGCCAAATTGACTGTGCCATCGCCGTTCCCAAACTCAGCATCGCAGTCACAGAGTCCACCGGACTCCAGAACCTCGCCAAGGCCACCTGGAACCAGGTGATCGGGCGCTGTAATGGGGAATTCCGACTGGAGGTTGGCTTCTTCATGGCTGCCGCCGTGACCGAGGTGATGGTCCGTGTCTCTCGAGTCCTGTTCACACGCACCGCAGCTGCGGGAGACGTTGCATGCTCGAGGTCGGCGGCGCAAGTCTCGACTCTGACGTTGGAGGACGTGGACGTCTCCGTGCCTTCGCCGTCCGACACGTGGACTTTGGTATGTGGGTTTCAGCGCACCACGCCGGACTTGATCGCGGGATCGATGGATGAGGAGACGCTGGAGTGGCCGACGGAAGGGGAACGGCACAGCGCAGCTGTGCGAAGCACCTACGAGATGGATTGGACCTACGCGAAAGGGACGTGTTTACGACCAATGGACGCGCGTGTGTGGCGACAGTTTTATTATCCAGACGGCTACAAGACGGGCAAATACGTGTGGTTGTGGGAACACAAGGACGGGTCTGCCGAGCCGCAGAAGTGGTTCCTCGACCGCGACTACCTGGAGAAAGTGGCGCCGCCTGGCACGGCGATAATCGAGATACCCAAGCAAGTACATCCGAGCTTCCTCTACGTTTGGAAAAAGTCGCTAGTCAACAAGACCGACCAAATATTTACTGTCCTCAAAAGAACCACCAGCCTCAAAGCCCAGACCTTTAGGGAAGACTCGACGGACACCTTGAAGGAAACCGCACTTGTGGGGAACAGTTCTAGAGGACTCTCAGAAGCAGAAGATAGTGAAGCAGCAAGGGGAGTGGAGGAAGCTCTCTTTCTGCAAGAGTCGGAGCGCGTGGTGATTTCTCCCGGCGATCAGCTCGAATTAGCGCTAATGAATACGAATTCTAGACCAAAGAGATTGCTGCTCAGCTTACTGGGCAACACGTCAATGAAACTTACATTCAGTAAAGGAAGTAGAGGGAAACGGTCGGTGATCCTCTTTCCGTACCGTAAGTCCATAAAGGCGTCAGTGCCTCTGATAAACGCCGCCACGCCTGAGAGGGAAACGACCAAGGCGGCTGCAAGGGAAGTGGGTACAGGGACTGCGAGATGGAGTGGTACGAAGAACGCGGTGGTTGAGATTACGAGCATCCGTATCGAGCCTTTGGTGAAGGTGGTGAATGAATTGCCGTTGCGGATAATGTTGTTGGATACGAGTACAGACACAGAGATTCCGGTAAGTCCGGGTGGTGTGGGAAGGTGTTGCACAGAGGAGTCGAATTTGTGTCTAATACAAACGCTTCCGGAAACGGCGAAGCGGGTCAAGATCCAGTTGGTTCACGCCGCGGTGGTTCGATTCTACACGGGTGCGCGCGTGTGCGGGACGGGGCGTATTCTCTCGACGTTGCACGAGTCGGGCATGCGACTGATACGCATCACGGCCTTCCTCGTGCTCTATAACAACCTCGAACTGACCTGGGATGTGAAACTATTCCACAAACCAGGACGCCTCCTCTATTTCGCCGAAGACGAACCTACTGAGGACGAACCCACCACTCAACCTGCGGACGCCGAAAACCCGGAGGACCTGATAGACGCACTGTCCCTGCCCTCCCGAACCGCAGGTGGCAACGTCGACTCACCCGAACCCTGCATCTTTACACACTCCATTCCTAACCATATTGAACTCACCAATCCCGAACGGCAGGCCACAGCCGCCGTCGAACTCTCAGAAGAAGTTCTTCGCAAACTCGCCACGACCAACTACCAGGCCCAGGACCCCGCGACACGTTCCGGCGCCGCCACCCGACGCGGCGGAACCCGACCATCGGGCAACGTGCCCGCCACAGATCCCACAGCCCCAGAGGGTTCAGCCCCAGAGGGTTCAGCCCCAGAGGGTTCAGCCCCAGAGGGTTCAGCCCCAGCGGGTTCAGCCCCAGAGGGTTCAGCCCCAGAGGGGGGGTCGAGGACAGGTGCCGTGGTGGGGACATTACGGACGCGTACGCCTTCGCACTACCTAACAAGTTCGGAGAAGGTGGCCACGGTGAAACACGGGCCGACGGTGGAGCAGCCGGCTGCGCATAGTCGGTTGTCGGCCACGTTGCGCACGGCGGTGGCGACGGACGTGGTCTGGCAGTGTTCGGTTTCCTTCAAACCCGTGCGGCGCGGGCGGTGGAATTGGTCGCGAACGGACGGTGACCCGGACGGGCGCCTGGCATGTCGTGTGCTTGCGCGCGCGCGGACCAAGAACAAGACCGCCTCGTTGGTGCTGGACCCGAGTTTCTGGCTTGTCTCAGGCCCACTGCCCGGCGGCCCGCTTTTGGTTTGTCGCAAGGGAACTTCGATCGCGGGGACGGAGCTGACGACGCTTCGGTCGCAAGGCGTGGGTGAAGTCTGCCTGGCAACCGAGGACTGCGAACTGTTCGACGCAGAAGGTAACGTCAGCCGACCGCTCGTGGTCGGCGACCGTTCCGTGGTCAGTCTCAACCGCGAGCTCGCCTGCGTCCCTTGCCATCGTCTCGCACTAGGACCCGGC